AGAGGCTTCTATGACAGAGGGTCTCAAGATCAATTGATAATCTCAGATTTTGTTCATCTGTATTCTGTTCAGCAATTTTGTGCTGCAGTGGTCTTTTGACATGAGGTGGCAGGTCTATTTGAAACATTTTGCTGACATTCCATAATTTCAGGGTCAACTGGGAGGCAGTGATTGATTTCTAATTGAAGCATTCATGTGTTATTAATGCAGCTATTCATCTCACCAACGAGGATGATGAGGCGGTGGTTCTCTTGAGGAGGGCGCTGGTACAAAACCACTTCCTCATAGGGGGTGGACAAAGCATTGGTGTTGGGGGAGCAGGTGGTGCACGACTGTCGTCGCTTCCTGTAGGAAGTCCTCTTCCAGACACGGAAACTTCGACGGAAACCAGCTGGTGAGGTTAAAGAGCACTTTTAGTTTCGCTTAATAAACTTGACACACTTCTCACACACACTTCTCCTTATAAGGTGAATGTTACCAAAGTTAAGAGACAGCAGTAAAATGATTTATTATTGATAATATATATTTTCTATAGATATGATTTCATTAGATTGTAGGAAATTATTATTAAATAATAACTTGTCTTAATAAATCCATCCTTCAGTATAGATTTTATTATCAGTGCTACCCACTTAATGACTACTTAAATACTACCTAATTATCTGAATAGCATATATGTCTTACCCAGGTAGATTCCATCAGTAACATCAGATTCAGCTTCATCTGAAGGAAAGAAACATTCAAACTCCTAGATTTATCACCAGGCAGTACATTTCTTCTTTTTATTAAGTACAGAAACAAGTAAGCATTTATTTTTATATGTATTTACTACATTTTATTTTTTGTTTGTAAGCCTGACCTTAATTTTCATGGTCATATTAAAAATGCACCTAAATTACCGCCATTTAAAATTTTCATTAAAATAATTTTATCGAATTATGACTCGGAATAAACAAGTACATATACAAAAAGAGTCTACGCTGTGGGACTGTTTTGATCATGCGGACTGGGAAATGTTTCACGAGGCTGCTAATGATATTGATGAGTACACAGATTCAGTCTGCGGATTCATCAGGAAATGCGTGGAAGATGTCGTCCCATCCAGAACAGTTAAATCCTTCCCAAATCAAAAACCCTGGA